TTTCTCTCTGTCCTCTTACGACACGAAGTTTACGTTTCAAACACTGCTTGTCAACCTTTCACAAGCCAGCGCTCACATAATTTACCACCTTTAAGTTACTAACTTTTTTGTACGGCCTACCTACATTTATTTCTAAGCCGGCCATAAAAAAATACCTGCCATTACCCAGGTGATCCCCACCACCAACCAAATTCACCAAATTGCCCATTGGTGAGAGAGAGCCGAGGTCATCAACCACTCACTGGTCTGGAGCAAAGATGCCGTTTGCATGCTTTTATAAGCAAAGTAATTTACATCTTTGAAAGTTCAATGTGGCATTACTGTGAAGGCAAATTGTAGACTGCCACGATCTCGGGAACAAGAAGACTTCGTGTATTTGATAACTTGGCTGTTCTATAAGATAAGATAAGATAAGATAAGATAAGATAAGATAAGATAAGATAAGATAAGATAAGATAAGATAAGATAAGATAAGATACTGTAAAATAAGATAGATAAGATAAGATTAGATTAGATTAGATTAGTTTAGAAAATGAGTACAGATAAGATAAGTTACAATAAAATAAGATATAATACAGTCATACTTTGTTGTCCCCGTCGGAAATATTCTGTGGCTGTACTGTAATGGTAAGGACACAATGTGTTAATACGTATCATGTCATATATCTTTTTAATAGATTAGTATGAAGTGTGAAATTGACTTTCCACATCTCTGTATACTAGTGCAAGGATGCTTTATCAAGGCATTGTTAATCAATTCCAAAGCCAGATTTAACGTTTAAAAGTTATGAACGTTTGACTGAATGGATATATATATATATAATGTCTGATCTTAAGTTTTTGTGAGTTTGAGAATTTAAAAGAGGACGATTCGCTCTACATTCTCACTGAGTGTCTTGTTGAGCGTGCCATGCTTCATGATCATTGTCATGTGATAGGCATATAACGTACTTGTGTATATACGGCCGTACCTGTCCAAGAACAAAGCATCTGTTCTTGAGGCAAAAAGTGACCATTTTAGACAGGTGATCCTGTTGGACAGTTGTATTATGATATAGAAAATGCGTAGGGAGAGAGGAACGGAAAGTGATCGCTTGCACAGGTGATTGTCTTTCAAGGCGATCATTAAGGCAGGTTCCAATATATATATATATATATAT